TTTAATATTAGGGGGAAGGGATTAGGGAATATCCCATAATTCCCATAGCAAAGGGTCCTAAAGGAAATGTAGGAAAAATATCATCAACAGTAGTTGCTTTAGATAAGGTTTCAGGCTGCATGTCCCCGACCCTTGACTATGAGCTGCGCGGCATCGCCGATCCTTCGCCAAGCCGCAGTCAGGGAAGAGGTCGACTCTACACATGGGGTTAATAGGATTGCTTAGGATTTTGGATTGGAGGGTTAGAACCCTGTATAATTAGACCCTGCACATGCCCCAACGACCCCCCCTACCATACCATACCTGCAGGATATGGATACCTACAAGACGCGCACGGACTCGATGATGGCTTTCCCTGGGGAGGACTTCATGTTAGAGTTTGGGGTTTTGAGGTGCAGGGTACATTTCTTGCAGTATTGGAAAGTATCGGAACCTTCGGAGTGAGAACCTTCAGCACACGGAGCTGAGCTGAGGGGTCTATAGAGCCTTTGAAACTGCGTAAGGTGTAAGGCTTGGGCTGTTCGGCGGTAGGGGCTAGAAGTCTAGATAGGCAGCACTCTTGACATGAACCCTAAGCCTTAAACCTAGCCATTTAGTCACCATAAAGCCGTAGCGCGGGATGAAAACTGTTCGGGCTCTATTCTTGCACCCCTCTTAGCCTAAACCGAAGCTCGGTGCGAAGTCAAAGCCCACCTCGCCTAGAGTATAGTAAAGTGGCCTTGCATGAATAAGGGCTTGTGTCGCTCTCGCGGGACAGTATCAGAAGGTCCATCAGCTGCCTCGCATCAGTACTCTTAGTTTGCCAAGGCTTACTTGATGTACCTGTAGCCGGAAACACCTACCGTTTTTGGGTTCCTTATTATGGTTTCGGTATATAGTTCTTTAAAGAAGGTAGGTCTTTTCGGTTGCAAGTAGAGTTTAGGGGCAGAGCATAGATTTCAGTTTTCTCGTTTGGCAGTTTCGTGACAGCCCTGACCCTCAGGGTGGGTTCGACGCTCCTCTGCCCAGAAGTATCCCCAAAGTAGAGCTGCAGCAGACGCCTGTTGTGTCGAATGGGACTTTCAACACGAACACATCAGAGGTTCGAGGTCTTGAAGACAAAGCCACCTCGACTGAAAGCCCTACTCATCTTGACCAGGTGTTAAGGTTTAGAGTTCAGGGTGCAAGGTTTTGAAGTTGGATGGCATTTGCAAGCCGTTCTTTGGTTCTTTGGATTTAAAGCCGCAACGTCGTACCGGTATGGCAACTCTAAGGCAAGCTCGAGATAAAGACAGAGTGTCGTACTTAGAACAGTATGTTCCAAGATGCAAGCATTCCAGGAGATGGAAATCTTCACCCCCTTAAACAGCTCTAGGACATAAGTTGCTGACAAATCCATTTGTCTCCCTGGGAAGGCCATGCCGATGTTAACCCTAGCCGGCGCCTGGGCAGTGCAATGGAGAATTGCAGGGCTTAGGTATTGGGGTTTCGGGTTCAGGGGGCAAGGAGCTGGAGCGTCCGAAACCGTAGGATGTTGCACAGGGAGCACGGAGGGGCCTGCAACCCGTCTCTATGCCTCAATTTTGGGACTTTGACCAACGGCCCTACCTCGGAGCCTTCGGTCGAGAGGGCAGGTGTTTTTACAACGCCTTCAAAGTGACAAAAGATGTCGAAGATGGCGGTACCAAAGTAGCAGAGCCAAAGCACTGCAATCTTCCACACAGCATCCATCCATGTCCTGAGACTGCCCTCGTTTCCAAGCTTATTTGGTGCAGAGACCGAAAACGTTACTTCCATCGCTCTCCGATTTGTGCCAAGGAATGCCGTCCCATCATCGGCATGTTTTCCTCACTGCAGAGGTCTTAGTCACCATGAGGCAAGGCGCACTAGGCTTGTGGCCTGGAGCTCTAAAGTGGTTCCTACAAGTCATACGTTTGTGTATATGTCGTAGATCTAGCACACACATATCATACATACATAGAGATTTAATGTGTGTGTAATTGTGCCTATATATAATATAGCATTGTGTATATATATATAATATTATCTTTATTAAGGGCATGTGTTCGTGTCTATATGTATACATACATATATATATATAGATACATATCAAACATGCATACATACATTACCTTTGCACATACACACAGACACACACACACACATGCACAGAGAGAGAGAGAGGGAGACAGACACACGTGTACATACATACATACATACATACATGCATCCATCCTTACATACATACATGCATACATACGTACATACATACATACATACAGACAGACAAGCATACGTACACACCCATGCACACATACCTACATAAGTACATACGTACATACGTACATACATACATACATACATACATGCGACAGACAGACAGACAGACAGACAGACAGACGTACACACCCATGCACACATACATACATACATACATACAGACAGACAGACAGACAGACAGACAGACAGACACACGTACGTACATACATACATACATGAACGAACACATCCACTCACAGAGACACACCCGCGCACCCACCCCCCCGCCCACCCACCCACCCACCCACCCACCCACCCACCGACCCACCCCCAGCCACCCAACCAGCCAGCCACCCACCCAACCAGCCAGCCACCCACACACACACACACAGAGACACAGAGGTACGTGCGTACATACATGAATTCATGCATGCATACATACATACACACATACATACATGCTTACGCATGTTTGCATACATATATGCATACATACATACTTAACATACATATTATACACACACATGCACATAGACTTAAACATATTTACATTCTTGCATACATAGGAAGCATTGCAGGAACCTTGCAGATGAATGACTTCACTCCTCAGACCCATCATCATCTCGTGTTTGCAGGGTTTAGCGGGGGTGTCCTGATGAAAGTCCATGGCCCTGACTCAGCTTTGTTCTTGTAGACTTGACGACCTGGTGATAGTATCTCATTGGCAGCACTGAGACATACCTGTGGTCTTCAAGGCGTGCACACTGAAATCTGACAACATGTCGAGAATCGATTTTTTTTGCAGAGGGTCGGAATAGTGACTTCTAAGTGACTAATACTACCCCCTTGTAGTCCATGTATTAGTAACTATCGTAGAATACCAGAAGCTTCAAAGTGCAAGTTCAATCGTTTTTGGATATGAAGAAAGCCTTGGCATCTGAAAGCCTCAACCCTTAGCCCTAACTCCCCCCCTCAAAAGTTAAGCCCCAAACATCTTTCAGCCCTAAACTTCTAAACCCCTGAGCGCTTAACCCCTAAATCATTTCAGTCTGAAAGAACGAAGCGCTTGTCCCTGGTCAGGCAGGCAATGGACTCGCCAGCTATTTCCACCGATGATCATCTCAAGTTCCTTCTGACAGGATTTAATCTGGGGTCTAGGGTTCGGGGCTTAAAGTTAGGGTTTTTAAGTGCTAGCATGTCAGACCTCTTTCTGGGCCTGTTTTTTTTGACACATGCTCGGTCTAGACTCCCGTATCTGAGCCACGGAGTACGGTTTCATCAGTGCGCTCTAAGTGCATAGCTATTGCGATTTCGGACTTCGGATGCATAACTTGCAACTCCGCTTTGGGGTTTGGGCCATTACAAAATCCTTTTTGGGCTTGGGGTCTCCAAAAGAATGCGGACGTCAGCCACGCCACGGAATAATGTCGCCACTTGTGAGAGTTCATGTTCTGAAGTCTGAAGAACCAGAACTCAAAACCCAATCTGACGTCTCAACTCAGGCCAAAACCTGAACAATGAAGCTTCAAGCATCACCTCCCATCCCCATCATGACTCCTGAGGTTCCAGGGTCTCGACGCCTCTGCTGGAGCACAGCTGATGGAGGCCGAAGTGCTAAGTTTACAGTGGACGCTTTGAAAGCGAAGGGTACACAGGCAGTGTGTATCTGGGCACCTAGACGAACAGACAGAGAGAAGCAGAGAGGGAGGGGCGCATACACACTGACACACACATGCAAAGACCCACACACGCACTCACGCACACACACACACACATACACAGAGACCACCTACAAGCAACGACGAACACAAACACGCGCACACATGCGGCACGGATATCAACGCAGACAGAAATATGTACATGAAGACATGCATATATTTACACGCACACGCACGCACAGCCGTACAGACTCACACACACACACAAACACTTACTTGTATGTGGGTGACGCTGTGCCGTCTGCGTATATGCACACGACTTGCCTGCTAGAAAGTATCAGCATGAGAACATGCATTTGCAGTCAGCAGACACTTAGGTACATACACGAGCGCATGCAGCACACACACAGAGACAAACACACACGATCAGTTGGATCCATCTGATTTCGAAACTCTCTTGGTGTTTTTATTCCACCGTCACCGATGTGGTTTGGACTGTGAAGCATCAGTGGTCCATAGTTATATTTGGAGACTTTGCGCACAATGTCATGTCACGTTGTTCCGAAATACCTGTGCCGTCTGGAAGTCAGATCCACAGTTCCATGCAATCTGACCAGTTTAACCCGGAATCGCACAGGTGCTGGCCGCAGAGCTCGAGCATCGCTTGCCGTTAGACTGGCCCAATCAGCATGGGACCGTGGCAGCGCTCGCGCAGCAGCCGCTAGGACTGCCAATCATACCACATCTGTGTCTGTAGCTACAGCTACAGATGCATGCTTTCATGCGTGTACTTACATAGTATGCATGCATGTATGGTCTGTCTGTATACAATACATGGTAGCCGCTGGACCACTATCCATTTGCACTAGCAGACTCCACGGCCCATCCAAACTTTGAGAAACGACTTTTAGAACCATAGACAGGCTCCAAGGCAAATACCCTAAAGCCGCGAGCAAGCTCTGCCGGTGCCTGAATGCTAGTGCCGGCACTTCTCTTTGGAGCATATGAGAGCCATACCGGAGGCAGGTGTTCTAGACCCAAGCGATCCTTTAGGTGCACCAAAACCCTTTAACATGCAGCCCGCCGTCGAAACGACACCTTCCAAGACATCCCAGGTTAGGCTCCCACATTATGGAGGCGAGGAAGGAAGCTCGGATGCTTTGAGCATGGGCGCGATCGTTCCGTTGTGACAGAGGTCGGAGGAAGCATGTACAGATGTGCTGACAGGTTTGCTTATATTAGTCAATATGTTTATATACTCTACATGCCTTTTGCTTGCTCTTCTATAAGGATACCTATGCCTTTACTATATCCATAGCGTCTCTCTGTGTGTGTGTATATATATATATGTATCTATATGTCTGCATCTGTATCCATGTCTATAACTGTATGTATGTATGTATGTATGTACGAAATGAATGAATGAATAAATGTATGTATGTATGTTCACAGGTAGGTAGATGCATGCACGTGTGTGTGTGTATATACATATATACACACGTGTGTATATATATATATATACATACATGTATGTATGTATACATATATATATATATACATGTATGTTTATAGTGTCGGAGTATCCATATTTGGCTGTTCAGATGGCTATTGTAAAGGCTCCGGCCAGGCTTTCGAATTGCCTCATGGGAAATGCAATAATCAACAATCGTTATATTCATATACAGTACCCCCCCCACCAGCAAGTGACCATGAATTAACACACACACAGAGATATATATATATATATGTATACTTATATCTGTTCACACTATACATTACATATTACGTTCGACGATGTCTTCCTGGGGAGTCGACCGCAGAGTTCGCTGAGTTCGCGTCAAGCTTCTGGCTTAGAGTTGGTTCTCGCCAGGTTTATAGGATTAGCGACTCGATTTTTCCTAGAATCCGAGTATATAAACTCCGCGGAGTAAGGGCTTCCGAAATTGCATCAGCCGTTTCGCGAGATCTTGTACTGAACTGAGGAAGAGATTGGCAGGGTGCCGTCCAAATCCAAGAAAGCATCCCCGCCGCCCAAGGAGCGAGTGTCGGGTTTGGGGTTTGCTTCGAGTTCATGTCTTGCTTTACGTGTGTTTGTGTGCATACTTATCTTTCGCGTTCGTTCTTTCGCTGTCCAGGTCTGTCCTGGCTTTCTCTGTGTTTCTCTTGTGTTGACATTCCATTAGTCCTTTTGTTTTCCCTCTTGGTCTTGCCCCATTGGTGCTGCCAGACTTCGTGTTTTTGTTCGCACTGTTGATATCATCTTCGGCCTGTGAGTATTGATATGGGAGCTTTCCGAAAAGTAGGGGTACCTTATTTTGGGGTCCTTATACTAAGGATCCTACTATTTGGGGTATTATATTTGGGTCCCCTATTTTCGGAAACCCCCATATGGAGCCTTGTCTGCCAATCCTGCTGCTTGTAACTTTCGACACGTGTCTGGTCTTGTCCGCTTGTCCGCTGTTCCCAATTCAGGTATATCTCTGTTCGCTGCATGTGCCACTCCATCGCCGTTTCGTCAAGTAGCTGTTTAGTATTCCCGACCATGGAACTTGTTTTCTCATGTTGGTTGTGCGGCTGTTTAGCTTGATTTCCACCGGATGAGGCAGTCTTTGTCATGTGCTACCGGCTTCACTGTTGCAGCTATCAGGAGGTGAGCTAGCAGCTACACCGTCAAATCCAAAGATGCTCATGAGGATATTTTGGAAACGTATCCCGGGCTCCAACAGAGCAGTAGCGGCAAGGCTCACAGGCCTATCGCTGGACCCAGACGACTGGTCCAACAAAGGCCCTAATTAATCCCTAATCAAGCAATTGACCATGACTCCGAAGTTCCCAAACCCTACCCCCCCCTTGAACCCCAAACGTGCCTGTAGGAGAGCAAAGAGGAAGGAAAGGCGGGAGATGGCAAGAAGGGCAGAAGCGAGGCGCCTTCAACGAACATTCGTTCGTAAGGGTTCAGGATACCCATAGGATCCATAATAGTTCCTTTTTGTGGTTGGTATTTAGGATCCTATAAGGTAATTCCCAAAAAGGAACTACTTTGGAGCCTATGGGTAGTTCAAGGAAGCCCGGAAGCCCGACATATGTTGCCGCATGTCAGCAACTCATTGGTGAATCGGAGGCCGGAAGACTCTGCGGGCTCCGGGTGTGAAGAGCCCTTCGGTCCCCCAACATTCCTAGATAGTTCTGTGAAGCACATATGGGGCAAGGGGGGGAGGGGTTCTTGTAGATTTTTGCTTAGTGCAGCAGTGTAGCATAATCGAAGATTACGTAGATTGAGGATCCAGTGCATTTAAGGTTCGAGACTCCCAGGGGGCGACTGCTGGCCCCGCAAGGTGGAGCCAAACGTCCTCACGAAGTTCAACCGAGCTGCCGTCTCTTGGAGCAAAACTTGGCGGAAGCCGCTGCATACTAGCCAGCACATTGTTCGCGTCGATCTCCGGCAGCACAAAAGCACATCTCGGTCTACCTACCTACCTCCCTGCCTGCCTACCTAATTATCTACCTGCTTGGCCGACCTACCGAGCTACCTACTGTTCCTCACCGATCGACCGCCCGATCTTTGTTTACATGCACCTGCACAAATGCAAGCATGCATGCATAAACACAGACACAGAGAAGATAGCTGGACAGATTTATGCGTGCACATGTTGTTGAATATATATTTATATACACAAATAAAAAATTCTTGTTTATACTTTGACGACTCCAAGCTCCGACTACAGACGCCCGGAGCAGCCCTCCACCGAGCTCAGGTCATGCGCGTGATCCAGCAGGTTGGCTACCTCATGCGGGATCAGCACAAGATCATGGACTCCGTGATGGGCCTCCAGGTGCAGATCCAGAGATGAGGGGTGGATATATGGGTGGTCGGTGTTGAGCCATGCTGGTCGTAATCTGTGCAGAAAGCTAGCTTCGCGCACGGTGCTCTTGCGTGACAACCATTGGGCCGCAGCGCAGGGAACACGACAACCAACAAAACTATTGGAGGCACAGCCCCCCCCCCGTTTCTGTCATCGTCGAACAAACTCCGAGGCCCCCCAAACCACATTCCTAAAGTGCCCCCCCAATTAAGATCAAGGCCCTCAAGCCCGAAACCCCCAACCCCCATGGGCTCAAAATCAAGTCCGGGGGCCCCTAGGCCCGATCCTCAAGCCATAAGCCCCAAACCCGCAAGCACTTCAATCCGGAAGCTCCGAACAGGACGACGAGACGACCAAAGCCGGCGAGGGCGTCCGCCAAGGTCGTTTCGTGCTCATGACGGATCGCCTCTTCGATGCTTGGACGGAGCATATTGGGGGGCGTTCCTGCTTTGGAGCTTAGGTCCTTGGCCAAAACGTCTGTTTTTTTGGCAAGGCCTTAGAGGGATGCTGAGGTCTGTGTCCAGGAGGTGTGTTGTTGTTCGTTGTGTTTTTTTTTTGTTCGTGGGGTGAGGTTTTGACAATTGGAGGTCTCTTTGGATTTTGATCGGAGCTTCTATCGGTCCATAAGTGTCTTTATTTATCTTCACAAACAGGGTCTCTCTGATGTTTCATGTACTGGATCGCATGCGGTAATCGGATTGGAAGGAGCTGTTGATGGTACAGGCTTCTCAATCAACATGCACGTCATGTCCTTGCTTCGATCATCCAAGACGTATCGGCAGTAGCATTTCTCGAAAGCCGATGCTTGCATTGAACATGTGTCTAAACTTGATAATTCCATTTGTATTACTCTGAGGAGCGTCGGACTAAGGCTAAGGTTTCCGAGCTTCGCGAGGATATGACGAGGTGTCGACTACAGGGCTGACAAATCCCGAGCTAGCTCGGGGCCTTCTTGAGCGCCAATGTTGCTTTACACAAGCCGTCCTGTCAGACAACACAAATCGGCTGCACTTCGCGCAAGGACTGCTAGCAAGCTCACGTCCGGGGGGTTTTGGTTTCTGGCAGCCATGAACCTATTCAGCCTTGCAGTGCCCGAACCCAAAGCTTTGACCACGCCCTCCCTCGAAGACATGCCACGGCCAAGGACATGGCTGACCGTGCCCCACACGACCACTGTTCTTTTGTGCTGGCGGTTGTCATGCCTCCTGACTTCCTGGGCCGAAAGAGTGAAAACATCAGCTTAAGTACGGAAGCTCAGAAGACATGAGCATGGTTCGGTCTTTACTTGAGCTTGTTGAAGTCTTTCATTCTGAGAAGCCCTTCTACCTGACGCCCTAAGCAGCCTGGCATGCGAGCCTCGAACCTCACGCGAGGTTCCACATGATCATTAGGGCGCTGGCGCTTCGGCTGCTCTACCATCGGGCAGCCATCAGCCTGCAGAAGAGGCACCTCGAATCTTTTTGTTTTCTGGATTTCTGAGGATGTTGGAGTAGCGTTAGAGTAGGTGTTAGCAAGAGATGCTGCTGAAGCAGGTACCGATACCTCAAAAAGAAGAAGAAGTCCCTCAATGCCGTGGCACCTGCCATCTGCATTCAGCGCTTCTGGCGTGGCCTCCGTACCGGGCTACAAATTGCAAGAGCTCTGGCTGGATAGACTGTTTTTATGGACGGTTTTCCGGGGACACACACATGATGAGCCACTTCGTCTACATCCTTGAGTAGGCGGTCCCATCCATGTTGTCTAACAGAGACTCCGTGCGGCTCTTCTCTCCTATCGTCGTGTTCGCAGATGTTTACATCTGTGCATGTATGTATGTATGTATGTATGTATGTATGTATGTAGATATTGTGGCATGTATGTATGTAGGTAGGTAGGTAGGAGGTAGGTAGGTAGGTATTTAGGTCGCGAGGTCGGTCGGTGGGTAGCGACGTGCGCACACACACACGCACACGCACACGCACACACACACACATTTGGCTTTGCCGTTCACTCTAAAGTCTTGAACCCCACATCCTCATTTGTGCTGAACTCCAATCCCGTTCGTGATTCGAAGGGCATCGAACCGCCATTGACTCTGTTGCGCGAGAAACCGACTCCCCTAGCCGAGAACCCCGGAACGGCCCAGACTTCCACAGGAATGGAGATGGCAGTGGAGAAGATCCAGCACACCTACCGTGCTAAGCGGTGGAACCAACGAGCGGCAAAGTTCCTCGAGGTGCTAACAACTCGGATTCAGGGTTGAGTGTTTATTATGGGGATTGTAGACGTTTTGTGGACTACATGGGGCCTTCGCTGCGATCTGCGAGTGGGCTCTTTGCAGAGCTTGCAGGCTGCCAGTACCTAAGGGCTGTACGAAAACATCAACACATGTCCTGATGGAAAGCAATACTCGTACAGAAGCGAGTAGATGAGCAACGGTCTGCACATAACCTTGAGTACATGTGCATATGCATGATTGCATACAGCTATGGGTATTTGCAGGTATGCAAATGTTGTCGAAGTCTTGCTGGTACTTGCATCATAGGTTACACCCGCGCACACAAAAGTGAATACGCGCATACCTGCGTACGGACATGCACATGTACAGGTGAATTCGTACATAACATTGCACGTGCTTACACATACATCGCCGTCATCATCTTCATCACCATCGTCGCATTCATCGTCATCATCTTCACCATCTTCATGATCAGGCATAGTGTGCTGTTTTCATTCAAGTACTAGCAGAGACCTGTTGACACACGGACACACACACACACAGACAGAGACAGGGGGGCTTTTCTGCACTTGAGCTGCAACTGAAGCTGTACCCTCAAGACACAGACTGCTAAGAGTTGATGGGATTGCAAGTCTCATGGTACGACAAGTCAGTTGATGATGACTTAACACCCCAGCACCCTAGACTCTGCAAGTTGAAGTCGAAAGCACCGGTTCCGGGGGTAAGAGGCGCAGGTCTCTAGCCAGGAAAACCAAAGCTCCGGTGCGAAAGAGCTGGACCCTCCCAACTCCTAACCCTGAATCCGTAGGTAGATCGCAGGCCCCAAGACTGACACTGCGGATCCCTGAAGCATGGAGTCTAGACCGAGAAAGCCTAGAAGGACACACCCCGATCCACGACAGCTGATGTCCAAACGATGTCCAAACGTCTGTACCCCGCCTGGCCCTGAACTCGACCACCGTCCTTGAGATCCCCAACTAGTAAGTTTTGGAGGCCACGCTGAGGATGCAGCGAGTGTGGCAAGGAGCGATAAACCGTTTGTGGATCAGAAGGCCGGCATGTGACATCGATATGGCTGTCACACCGACGTTGCTGTGTTTCAGGAAGGGGAGAGAGATTCGCGGCTGGAGGTGTTTGGGAACATGAAAGGAACGTTTGTCAAGCGTAATGAGCTTGAACCATTCATATATTCGTAATTCAATCGTCGCATCTACTGAATCTACTGCAAGAGTGGGGGTGGGGTGTCAGGCAGCCAGATATCTTCAAACCCAGCAAGTCTGGGGCATCGTGATTCGGATTCTGAGTACTGAGGCTCTATATATCATACGTAGCGACCCAGATCGCTTGCTTTTACTCCCTATACGCACCCCAATACACAGGTTCTTTTTGCTGAGTTTGTGTCTGGTTCTTTTTGTGCAAATACGTTCGGGCAGAAGTCCGAAGGCTTCATGCGGCTGCCATTGACATTCAGCGATATGCCCGGGCCTTGGAGAGAGCTGGGTGGTTCAGAAGCACAACTTTGTGCCGGACATGATGCTTCGGGGCTTCAGGTTGAACCAATGTGGCTGTGGACGTACGTGAGCGGTTCGAGGGAAAATTTGCAGTGCAGCTCTGTCGTCGTCCGGCTTCTCGTTGCGATGGTGAAAGCAACGGCATTACTTCATCCTTCATCGGCTGCACCGTGCCACGGGTGAAAACTTAGGGAGCATCAACCGGTGAACACTACAGTAGCCTCATGCAGGACGGAGAGAGTCAATTCAACCTTGCCGGAGGGCTCATTGAAGTGACGATGCACTCGCGATGATGACGAGGATGATGATGATGATGATGAGACGCGGCGGCTGTTTCCCCAGTGTAGCATTTGGGGATTTCACTTTGTCAGCTTTGGAATTTGACTTCAAGCGGCTTCACTAATCTCCACAAGCACATGCAGGATACCTTCAGACAGCCGTATCCTAAGGTTTAGCAGTTACAGTGTACAAGGCCCGGAGTATAGCTCTTTTTGAGGCAGGCTTGATGTGCAGGGACGTCTCAGAACCACAGAAACATTGTCGATTAGTTTTTCTCCCACGCCAAGAACGTGAGCCCTACGCCTCATCCTTCTTCTTCGGTTCTCTTTCTGGTCCAAAATCCTGCGCTCCCCGAGGCACGTGGCCTCATAGTGCGGGTGGCTCTCGACAGATTTGGCCGGGAGCTGCTGAAAAAGAGCCAGGCCACCATGTTGCCTTTGGGACTTTGGCCGTAGGGACTCGGAATTGGGAGCGGTGACTCCCGAATTTGCAAGGACGTGTGGCAACGCTACACTCAATTCCCGGGTAAAGACGGATCCAAGCATTTTTTTGCTTTGGGTTTACGACCACGGCCACCACTACCACTACCCGGTCGACGGCAGCGATCGCTCTCCTGTTCTGCCGACGGCTGCGGCAACGAATTACTACGGATTCTACTACGTACTACGGATGCCCCTGCTGTTGCTATAGTAGTTCCTGCACCTGCAGCTCCCGTCACCACCACCACCACCACCACCACCAGCAGGACGAACATCACCGAAAAGGGCATCATCCCAGAGTCAACAGGACTAAAGTCAAGTCCTTCAAGGGCGCCATTCACTCCCGAGCCGCAGAGAGGAGGTATGTTCCTTGATAGCAGTGTGCGATTTTTCTGCTGCTCCATTTAAACAGGCGGAGATCAACGCACTGAGCCGACGGAAGGGTGAGATTAGCGAAAGCGAGCCTTGTCTTCTGGAGAGAACGCTTTACAGCGGTTTAGGGAAGTTGAGGGTTATCTAGGTCGTAGGGATTCATAGGGCCAAGGGAAGTTTATCGAAGTTTAGGGTTTGGGGATGTTTGAGCTCAAGCTTCTGCACCGGCCTTTCAGCAGCTGCAGTTGGATGTTGCTGCAGCTGCTAAACCCTAAACTTGTCAGGGGGAGGTTATGCTGCTGGGCGGGCCGGGGGGGCCTTTTAAACCATCATAATCATGGGTTCCCTAAAACAAACCGTACGCCACACGTTCGCCCGCGAACCTTGCACCGAGACAAAGTCCGAACTTCACAATGCGGGCTCTTGTGCTTTGATACCTGCACAGCTCATGGATCTTGAAAACCGGGCCCTTCAAGACGGAATCGACGAGCCATGGGTTTCCCTTCATTGCTATTCAAAGCCCAACTTGAGCCTAAAAAGCCCAAGATCTCCCATGGACCCTGAACCTGAGACTCTCAGCATACCCGAACGGTTTTTCCTTGAGGAAATCCGTCGAGGACCCTATCCGGCCATGGAAAAACCTGAAACAGGGTTTAGGGTTTAGGGCACAGAAACAGACTTTCAACCCAAGGAGTATTGGGCCCGAGCTGCCTCCTTAGTCGGCAAGTGCCTGGCCCAACCATGGTGAGAGTTCAGGCGGTTTCAGCCTTATTGCAATCATTCAGAGTTCTATTGGGCTTGAGGGTTTAGGAGTCTACAGCTTAATATAATAATAGGATTTTCTAGAGCTTTAGAGGATTGTTCTGTGTGCGAGGGTTCAGGATTCAAGGCTTACAATATGTATTGAGACTTATAGAGGCTTCGGTTTAGAGTTTCGAAGGCTCAGGGGGTTGTTGTCCGTTTATTGTTGTTTCAGATTTCAGGACTCGGGTGCAGGCTTAGGGCTTCTAGCTTAGCTTGCGTGCGGTCTTCGCAACACGGGACATGGAGCAACATGGACGCTGCAATGGGGGGGGGGGGGGGGGGGGGGNNGGGGGGGGGGGGAGGGCTTCGACAGAGTTCCGGTCTTTGGGGTTTGGGGTTCCGGTGGCTGGAGGCTTGCAGGGGTTGCTCAGCAGATGTACCATCCAAAGCAGGATCACAAAGTTATCATAAATCCACAGGCACACAAGGGCTGCTGTTCAGGATTGCCCCAAAACCCAAATATCGAAGCCTGAACAATTCCCGATGCTATTCCTCAGGGTGCCGTACTGTCTATGTAACCATACTAGAACATACCCCAACACCGTATTCAAATTCCGATATTCCGATCATGTAGGCCCCTATATTGGACTCCGGAAGCCGCACGGCGGAGTTCTGATCGCAGACCCAGTCGCTTGCCCTAGCACCAATGAGGTGTCGCATCAACCTCAGCAAACACCGCGATCGAAACGTCGACCTCCGCAGGAGACCACGGATATTCGGTGTAGGGTTCATAGGGTCTTTAGGGCTTGGGGCTCATAGGGCCCAGGGTGAAAGTACTTCTTCGGGCTTCCTGCAGGTAGTGTAGTGGACTGGAGTGCTGTTGACTGTGTGTTGTGGGCTTTCAGGATGTGCACGCCACGATGCCATATGAGCTATGTGATCATCAGAGCTCGTCGTCCTGCGCTCCGTGCTTGAGCCGAGATTCACATTGACATACCCCGATGCCCGAAAGATCTAAACTTTCAATGTGCATGTCGGGCTTTCACTAATCAGTTCCAAAGCCATGAGTCAACAGTGTGCGACATTACCCTTCGTGCTGCAGGAATGCTGCGTCGACGCTGAAGTCCAAACAGGCCCGCATGTTGGACAAGCAGCGCCTTGGACCGTATCGCGTTAACGAAGCACGGCGGGCTATTTCGTGTCCAGCACTTCCAGGATTTAGTTGAACCCGGAGCTTCGAATCATTGATACGATCAAGGTTTGAAATGCTTCCTGGAGCTACAGATGAGTAAGAACTTGAACCCAAGGCTACACTGAAGGATTCGCACAGTACATCAACCCATATGACGATGACGCTAGCAACAAGCCGCAAATATCAGTATAGTACATCAACCCGTATGACAATGACGCTAATCATAAGCCGCAAAATGAACCCAAGTCGGACTCAAACCCCCATGCCCCTCTCCCGCTCAGGAAGAAAATCAAGATGAAGGGCTCCCTGCAGCCCATCCGATATTCCATCTTTGAGAACTTCTGCGCTGTGGCACGGCGGTCGCAGGCCGAGCGTGTTTTAAGCGAAGTCTAAACAAAGATCCTTGCCAAGGCTTGAATAATTGCAGGTTGCCGAACGACTTTCGACATTTTCCACTTAAGGATTCATTCTACGAGGGTTCGAGAGGGGTGTGACTGTTCCAGAGAAAGCGGCTTGCATAGGAACCTTGAGCCTTCAGGGGTCTTTCGAGAAGCGCTTCAGCCTTCCCTGTGAATCCCCAGCCCCTGACAAAAGCCAGGGCGGAATGCTACATCGAGAGGCTTCAAAGGCCCCTACTCCCGAATGCTTAAAGCAAAAACACGAGACTTCAAAGTTCCGAGCCTGAACTTCCTGAACCTTGAATCAGAAGCGCGCTGCCCAAATTCCTGAATCCCAAACCTATAAACCCTATAAACCCTATAAGCCCTATAAACCCTATAAGCCGTATAAACCCTATAAACCCTATAAACCCTATAAGCCCTATAAGCCCTATAAGCCCCAAAGCTGCAAGCACAGGTCCAAGCAATGCCCGGCCGGTTCGGTGCAGCTCGCTCCGAGGTGTTCCTTGGAATGCGCAACGAGGATTCCGGTGCCTTACAGAAGGGTTCCCCTAAACCCTAAACGATCTTGAGGGGGATCTTCTGATGCCTTACACAAGGGTTCAGGGTGTTAGGGAACCCTGTGCTGCAATTAGCCCATACATTGGGTTGTTGAGGAGCAGAGGGAAGAGCTTCAATAAGGGCTTTTCACAGGCATCGCCTAGTAGCAATGGAACTGTTCATCATATCCCCATACCCGCAAGAAGTACAGATGTGTATATAGATGTATACACGCACGTACATCGTGCTGCTGTGGTGCTGTATCCGGATGTGCGTGCAGCAGTGCTTCAAGTCTGGCGTCGGTTTGGTTGCATTTTGTTTTTGGACCTGCCAAGTAAAGAAACAGCTTCCGTGGAGACGGCCTGCATGGAGTTTCGTGCTGCATAGGGCCCGGAGAGAGCATATTCCTCCCATATCTAGGCTGGCAAAGGTTCCGAATCACGAAAGAAGCCAAACAAAAACCGAGACCACACGTCCTAGAAGATGCCCTCCTTCTGTCGTTGCCGAAGGTTAGAAGAGGTTCGCAAGTGCCACCAGCGCCTGAACCGAACGATGAATGCCGACAGCTACGCTGCAGACCCGAAGATGAAGACTTCGGTGCATGCAGCTGCGAAACGTGGGCAAGCAGCCATGTTAGTTCAGCGCAATTCGAAGAATTACGAAGCCGTGGCGAACAAGCAGACGCTTCTGCGGGACGACGAGCTGGAGTTGTGGATGAGACAGCAGTTTCAGGTGGTCAGCTGATGCTGGCTCCATGTTTCCTTCGAGGCAATGCGCTCAAAGAGCATGCATTTTGTCTCTGCGAATTCAGATCAGAGTGCGACAGTTGCCAATGGCGCGAACCTCAGTTAGGCATACCATACGCAATCCACCGCATGCGTGTGTGGCCTTCAGGAACTCTAAACCCGAAACCTCTAAAGAGCATGACTGCAAGCATGTGTATTGAGGAAGGCTCACGCGCCAAGGTCTTAGGTTGCCACGCCAGGAGAAGGAGTGCACCTGGAAGCTTGCCTGCTCGGTCTATCTCTATGACTGCGCACCATCTGCAGACATGTTCGCGCCTATGATCGCAATCTTTATTTATATACGTGAATGACATAAGAAGAAATGTTCAGCCAACAACAAAATAGCGCGGACCTTGAGTCCGCATCTGCAGCTTCCCGGCTCCGATGCACACGCCTCCTCTGAAAAGTCTCACTAGGCTTCACGAGTTTCACCGCGACGGTTGAAAATGGGAGTGCGTGCTAGCTCGCCCATTGGCCATGCTACTGAATGGTTAAGCTCTTCCGACTGGGTCTCGCAGCCTGTCACCACATGCCGCGATCAGAGCGGATCTTCCGTACACGTCCGGTGTGCTTGCGTATCTCCAGCAGCAGCAGCAGCAGCATGCAGAACGTGGGATCGGGTGCAACTAACGCTATGTCGGTATGCTGTCTTGTAGACCCTTTGTCCCCAACCGATTGCAGAATCGCACCCTGCCAGACTTTCACCCCGGAAGACATCAGAGCAGCGCAGGTGTTTCAAGAGCTAGATCGTGATCAGTCGGGGCGCATCAGCAGCTTGTCCTTCTAAGAGCGGCTTCTTGGATCATGGGGTTCTTCCCTGTGCCTGTTTGCAAGAAAATATCCTGCTCTCCACGTACGAAGTTGTTCTTACATCTCGTTTCGGTTGGATTGTCATCCTTGGCATGTGGTGGATAGTCGTGGTTTCTTGAAATTCGGGCCTCCTATCTGTGAAGAGAGATCCTCGTTGCCAGAATCTTAACTTTTTTTGAAAGGGGTGGCATTCTACAGGAGGGTCCGGTATCTGAAGCTCCCATGTTCATGCTGGAGCTGGACCGCTGGCTTCAGAGCGAAGCTATCTGGGATGATGGCTTCAGAGTTTAGTGTTCGTGGCGGACGGCATTTTTCTGACTGGGTGACTACCGGAGGTCCTTGAAAGCGTCTCGAGATTCACTTGAGGTAAACATGTCGGGCATCTGTCCATGCACGCGTGTTTTTTTTTCAACTTTCGGGCATTCTTGGAAGTAGTTCCGCAAAACACCCTGCAAAAGCTCATGTGCTCAACACATGGCCCAGACCTTCCCAAATCTGTGCCGAGCATCGGGGCATAAAGCAGTGTAAGCAGATATATGTTCCAAGATAGCAAGAGCCAATGCGACAATGACGACAGCAGCGGTAGCAGTACCAAGAACACACGAACTCGTGACGGTAACAAAATACGGGAACCAGCATAATATGCAGCTGGTGCAAGGTAGTTCGTGATAGCAAAGCGCAAGTTTCCGAGTACACACTACGGTGACTACCGCGTCAACTGCAACTTCTACCGGTGCTACCCCCCCACTACTACAGATCAAGATTGCATCAGCCCTAAACCTAATCCCTACACCCTAAACCCAGTGCTCGTAGTAGCCATGGCAAGAAAGAGGGACATGTCGGCGGAGCTGAAACGGCTCGAAGCCAAGCACCGAAGCCCGGATCCTTTGGCCCATCATAGTCCTTGTAATAACTGCATATAGTATACTCAAGTATCTTGTAACTGGACTATCATGAGATACTCCCAAAACGATATCAAAGTGATATTGTGAAGGCCCTTCAAGCCTAGTCCCCGACAGAGCCCTCATGGTAGCACGGTAGTTCTTTAACATCTCAAGGGGAACTTTAAGGAAAAAACGGTACGCTCCAATCAACCCCGGATTCTGCTGACCCGAACATGCTCCGATGACAGACCAAGGCTATTCCGAGTTCGTAGATTCGCTTGAGAGGGCGGAAGAGGAGCACGAAGGGCTGAAGAAACAAATCCGGACGGACAAATTTTCAGTTCGTCGCGGACAGAGTTCATGGTTTCGGGGCTCTACTTCCTACAACGTTTAGGGACCCTAATTTGCAATAATAGTTCAGGGCCTAGCGAGCATACAAGCCAGCGAAGAGGTTGGGCAAGCGGCTTCGGTTCTGGGGCCTTCTTTGCACAGCTCCAGTGGTGAGTCTTCACAGAGAGTCAAACGTCCCGAGCTCGCTTTGTGAATCCCCGAGTTTCGGGTTAAGAAATTAGGGCCTACATAGATTCGAGTTTCAAACAAGAGCTGTCCGAGTCAACGTTGCGCACTCGAAGCAGAGACAAGAAAACTCAGTTCAACAGCTACTGCTGTAAGCAGGGCGGAGTCGGCGTTTCTTCTTGCCACCCTGAACCCTGCCACCTCAGGTCGCTCTTACCCTGTGTTTCGTGGGATGGAAGGACCACTATCACTAGCACAACTTAAAAAACCCAACAGCGATGTCAAGGAGTGCCGGCAAGCAGGCATTGCGGCCGCCATGGCAGCTGGCACGACAATCGGCCATGCGGCCCTCAGTGCAGGAGCTCCCACCAAAGATCACACCGTAGACCCCTGGACCCCTCGTAAGCCTTCGACTGTCTACCCTCATCTGCGAAAAGCTGAAGACTCTCTCTGAATCAGGGTTGAGTCTTAAATTGAGGCCTTGTCATTGCTGACTAGTTGCTGTATGTCTGGAGGCCTAAAGCCTAAACCCTGAATCACCCTAAACCCTGAACCCTAAACCCCTAAACCCTGAACCCTAAACCCTGTGTTCGGACCAGAGTCAAAAGCTTCGGAGCTTCGGGGTCGAGCTCTTGGCTCGTGGAGCACGAGAGTTCCTGCGCAGACGGCTTAGGGCTTATAGGGCTTATAGGGCTTTAGGGTTTATAAGGGTTTAGGGCTTAGGGCTTTAGGGTTTAGGGCTTTAGGGTTTAGGGCTTCAGGGTTTAGGGTTCAGGGCTTTAGGGTTTAAAGGTGACGGGTTAAGTCTTTTGAGCCCTGCGAACCTTGGGCCCACCATCTGACAAACTTTACGCTGCCTTGGCGTTCAGTGGCTGCTTCCTGCTACGCCTTAAATTTAAGTTTAAAGCTTGTGTAGGCGCTCAAAACTCCAATACCCCGAATGCTTAAACCGTAACTATAGAGCCCTAAACCCCCCAAATCCTGCATGTATACATCCTTACAGCCCTTGAAGCCCTGATAAACGCCACCACAGCGGTAATTAACTTCAAAAGCCCCAAAAGCCCTACACCCTACACCCTAAAGCCCTACACCCTAAAACCCTAAAGCCCTACACCCTAAAACCCTAAAGCCCGAAGCCCTAAAACCCTAAAGCCCTACACCCTAGAATCCTAAAGCCCGAAGCCCCAAAAAGCATTACCGAGCCACGGAGGCCACAGCATCCGAGAGGCCGCCGACTTCGCTGCCACTGCGGCGTCCAAGGCGTCCTCGGACTTCGGCCTGGTTCCGGCCGTCACCCGGGCTTCATTTCTATTCTGGTAGAAGAAACATGCATACACACATACATACTTACAATATACAAATATACACATGCAGGATATGCATATTTGTGTGTACAGAGATGCATATAGTATATGCACCATAACATGGTCATATAGAGCTAAAGAGCCATACTAGCTAACAAGAGATCCTTTGCCCCTCTCTCTCTCTGTCTCATATATGTATATATATATAGATAGATAGATAGATAGATAGATAGATAGATAGATAGATAGAGATAGATAGATAGAGATAGATAGATAGATAGATAGATAGAGATAGATAGATAGAT